TGTGTGGATGTTTTTGTATTGGACATTAAAAAATGTAACACACTTTTTTTAGGAAAGCGAGTGAATTGTCCTCATTGATCCTTTTTCTGAGATAAAAAAAACATCAATTCACAAATATTGATTGAAATTGTTAGTAATGGAGTTAATAATCAGATATAAAAATGTTTTGGGGGATTTTTTTTTGTTTCTGACACTATAGCATGATTAAACATGGCCCGGGTCAAATTGACCCAGGAACATTACTGCTGTTCCTCAGAAACGAACTAACAGGAGGGTTAATTAATGACACTTTACCTGACTGAATGATGACGGCTCCACGGTTTCTCTTCTCCTTTTCTTTTCGGTAGCGTCGAGCCGCCAGCCAGCCTTTCGTGTAAGCCTGCATCACCACCACCCGAGCGATGACCTCACGCAGCAGCAGGTTCAGCTGCTCCACATGGTAGTACTTCAGAAAAACCTGAAAGGACGTTCGGACCTGGCTAAAGTATCTCAAACATTTTTTTTTTTACAAAAAGGCATTAAAAGAAAATCACTCCACCTTTGTCTGACCCATCACCCAGTCCTGTARTTTGGCCCGCTCCAGTATGGCCACCGCGTTTTCTCTGCTCATCGCTGGCATCTGATGAGCCCGAAAGGCAAGGCARTAATATCTACAAAGAAATGCAAAAGAGAAAACATTTAGAACAGTTGGAGAGTTTTAAAGCATCCAAAAACTCTAATGTTTGGTCTGTGAAAATTCAAAAGGGTTCAGTTTGGCACTTAATGACTGTCTTATTATTCAGACTAGAAAAATAGTTTTGCTCTTAGTATTTATCAGGTGAAAGAAAAAAAAACAGTATAGAATGCTGAAAAGAAAATATTTTTAGAATTAGGTTCCTAAAATCACAAAAATGTCAACTTTTTTTGTGTGTTTTGTGGTTTTCCAGGGTGTTTATAATGTACAGATAATAAAAAAACCTAACCAGAATAAGTCAGTGTACTTGGTTGTAAATATGCTGAAATAGAAATACTGATGCATAGGAGCAAAACAAAATCTTAATTTGAAAGAAAACGGTTGTAGTTTCTAGCTTCCATTTAGCTACTTTTAGCTTTTTAATTTTCCTTTTGCTACATTTATATTTGAGCTGGTCTTTTGCTACTTTTAGATACCAATCTGCCTAATTTAGCTTCTCACTTGTCTTGCTATTTTATTTATTTATTTATTTTTTGCGTTAGCTATCATAGGAAGTTTTAGCTTCTTCCTAGCCTTTTGCTACTTTTAGTTTCTAGCTACTGGTTTGCTACTTCTGGCCTTTAGCTGTTACGCTTATATTTTACTACTTTTGGTCTTTAGCTAGTGTTTTGCTCCTTTTAGTGTTTATTTTCTTTTAGATTTAACAGCTCAGTTTTAGCTTCTTTGGCTAATTGAATAATTTGATCGCTCTCAGCATTTAGACTTCATTTCTGCAGAAATTACACGTCAGCGAACATCGGTGCTACTTCTGTTTCTGTCAAACTATGTCTGAATCCAGCGACTGATTCTAAAGTTTACAAAATACCAGCACAGGACAGGACGGGGCGGCTCCAGCTTTTGCAAAGCGACATCAAAAGTCCAGATCTACTGGTTCGTCTCACGTGCTGGTCAAAGAAGAAGAACAACAAGAAGAAAAACTTCTTTGAACTCCACTCCCCGCCTCAGTCTAAAGCCTTTCATACTAATTCCTGTTGATACCTGTTATTTCTTTGATGGTAAATACAAAGCACAGCAACATCAGACGAGCCTTTGATATGAGAGCACAAATTTAAATCAGTTTTCACTAAAAGGTGCAGTTTAGCCACTCGGGTCGGTCTGTCCGACCTCTAACGGGCTCAGGTGGGATGATACGGATTCAAAATCAAGGTTGAAAATCAAACAACTCAACAGTTTTGTTCACACAGTGACTGCGGAGACAACAGTGAAATGTTCATGTCAGGGCATGTCCAGTCCTTTGGGACTCCCTTCACGAAACCAGGACATGCAAAGACGCATCATGTGGTCACTCAAAGTTTTCTAAATTAAACTTTTAAAGCTTCCCCTAAGCTGTGAGACTAACCACCAATCTCCAAAAGTTTTTTTCCACACAAACCAAAATCCCAAGTTAATGAAATTTATGATCTTGAAGCCTCTGCATTAAAGGTGGATGAATGTGTTTCAAAAGCAGATTGATCACACAAGAATACTGTAGYTTTTGTTCACCAACTCATCCAAATATAGCCTTTGTTTATTTGTCGGTTTCTTTAAACTCAGACTCAGAAAGTTGAACTTTAAAATTTGTGGTTACCCATCATAAAAGGAGCGATTGATGCTCAGTATTGAATTAGTTATTAGATCATGTCCTATATTTGAGATACCAAAAACAGCAGCCTTACGTAAAGTCTCTCTAATGACGAAACTTGTTTTAATTGTGCTCTAACATAAAACCACGGGGACATGTAGACCACATTCAAGCTTTTCCAGGTCACCGAGTGCAAGAACAAACTCTTTATGAATAGTAAAGGGAAAGCTATTAAAATGCATCTCCCCTTATAATCACAGTTCCTCCCTGTTTGAGTTTTATCCATATTTTCCAGACTACAGTTAAAAGAGTTGTAAGATTAAGTCTTGCTCTATCACTAATGACTGCCAATTAGTCAGCTTCCTGCTTTGCTCAACTTGAACTTGTGTAATTAAAGAACTTGTGTTTTTTTTCATTTATTAATTTATTTTTTTAGCGTGATGCAGAGCAGCGATAGCTCGTTCTGCTCGCTCTCTGGGGTTGTGTCAGCACTTTGCAGAGCGGAGGTTTGATTCGTCTCATCGCCGCTGCTACCTGTTGACAAAATCCTCAATCGGGACGCGGTGGGAGTAGCCCTGTCGCCGGATGTTCACCGTCTCCAGGATCCCCGTGTAGCGCAGCTGCACCATCACCCTCTCGTTGCAGAAGCGGAGCGCCTGCCTGTCGTCGTTGGGTTTGATGCAGCGCACAAAGTGTGGCTGGCCCACCACCATCTTAGACAGCAGGTCCATCAGGGAGTACTGTGGAGACACAGCAAGGCAGCCATAAACAGCAGCTAAATGGTCAAATAAAAACAGCATAAATGCAGTTACATGAGTTTATAAGTGTAAGAAAATATGTTATGATTATAATTATTTTTCCAGTCTGAATAAAAGTAGAGAAAGTGTCATTAATTGCCAAAAGTAATGAACAGTTTTACATTTACTCATAACAGACCAAATGTTAGTTATTTGAGGATTTTACTTTTAGTGAAATAGAATCATGAACCTCCTTTCCACTAAATTCACTACTACAAAGCAAAAAAATGACAAAAATTACTCAGTATATGTAAAATTGATCAAGTTAGATCTATTTTTGGGTATAAGGTTGCTTTTTATTGTTATTCTTGGAGTTTTGAAATAACAAATGAGATTTTATTACCTGTTTTTTTATTGACCTAAGTTAAAATTTGTAGAAAAAGGTGTTCATTTATATATCCTAGTGATTCCTAAAGACAGTCAACCTTCCAATTAAAAATATCTAATTAGGTTTGTGTTAAGGCCTCCACATACTCCATCTGAAGCCGAGCATTCGATGTGTGGCCACGTGGTTGTCCCACGTTCGATTTTTTGCACACAACTTTCATAGCTCCTGGGACAAAGCAGGCCGAGCTCCTGGGAAACTGTGGGATGCGTCTCTGCATGGGGTTCCTTCCTGCTGGAGTCTGCACTCCAACACCCCCCCACCCCACCCAAAAAAAAGACAAAAGAAAAAAAAAAACAACAACTCCAATCCACCGCTATTTGTCCGCAAATCTGTCTCGGATGAAGCTGTTTTCTGCAGAAGGATTCCTCCGTGCAAAATGTCTGTTTCATCTCCATTCATGACTGTTCAGCTGTTTGAATATTTCTATAAATGTCTGCTTCCAGGTACGACAGTCGACATCTGAAAGGAGTTTCTTTTCTTTTTTTTTGTTTATGTTTTTTGGAAGCGAGGGGTTGAANTTTTCTTTTTTTTTGTTTATGTTTTTTGGAAGCGAGGGGTTGAAGCAAAATGYAGCATCCRAGAGCCTTCAGCACAAACAAACACGGCCAYAAACTTGTGATCAATCTCACAGTAAGTTCTTMTGTGGARGGTGGGGGTTAAAAAGTTCTCCCGRCCAAGTTGTGCCAAGAAAGGKCGGCAGATTGGAAGCTGTGAACAGAATGGTGCATATTTTGTAATAAAACTGAGAGCTGATTTWAGCAGTTTGGATGGAGCATGCAGAGGCCTTTAGATTGAACTTGTGTTCTTCCCTGTAATGTAAATATTATCAATTCTGACCTCATCTTCCTTCTATAAAATCAAGAGAGCAACAAACAAATATCAAACTTAAGGGTTTAAAATGATCACAGACCAGTTCTGGGACATTATTGTGAAATAAATTGGACTTTTATTGAAATCTACGGAGCCCACGAGGGGACACGGGGGGATTTTTTTCCTTTTGCGTTCCCACGCAATACCTTTGCGTTCCCTCGCAATACTTTTGCGTTCCCACGCAAAAGATTGTTTTGTATATGAACTGAATTAAATCAGACTTTTATTTTGAAATATCCGGTTACCAAAACAGGATGTGTCGCCACAAGTTCGTGATATTGACATTGATGTTGCATGGCTGCACTGTGTTAAAACACGGCATATGACATACTTCCATGCGTGGCTGTGTGATATATTCATTCTGAAGCTGAATTAAAGCAGTAGGCTAACTCGCTAATGGTGAACATGTGAGTTTGCTAATAAACCAGCAGGCACAACAGTGATAAACTAGTTTTGCGAGGGAACGCAAAAGTATTGCGAGGTAACGCAATACTATTGCGTGGGAACGCAAAAGAAAAAAATCTCCCATGTCCCCTCCTCGTGGGCTCCGTAGAAATCAGTCTCTGATGCTATATTCACACCAAACGCGTTGTGCGCCTCCAAAAATCTCAAAACGCACGCATCTTGAGGCTGGACAGACGCATTCACAGATCAGAACGAGAAGCGGCGGCGGCGGCAGCGGGGTGTGGGAGGAGCGTCTGCCCTCGGTGGGTGAAATAAAGATAAAATAAAAGAAAATGGCTTTGATTTAATTACTAAAGAGCAAGTGAACGTTGCGCACAGCAGATAATTAACTCACCAGATGATTTAGAGGCGATTTGTTCGGTTAGTTTCGTGCTCCAGAAGCTGCCAGCTGACGGACCCTTTTTTTTTGTCCGGATCAGCTGACCCACATCAGCACTTATATCCAGCCAGAAAATCCAACTGCAGATGGTCGATTTCAGGTAAAGATCTCCTGTTCGTCTGTTTCGGTTTAGTGGGCAACATTCAGGAAACTGTCACATGGAAAAATGAGTCTCTTGGATTGGTTGATGCGACGCATCAAGCAGCAAAAGTTCAGATTTTCCAAMTCACGCGGCKGACGCTTGGGACGTGCCGCGCTGCTCGGCTTCTAGACTCCCCTAGATGCGCGTCCACCATTGACTTTGCATGTAAACCAGATGACCTGATGCTCAAAAYRCGTTTGGTGTGAATGTACCTTTAATCAAACTGATGATGAGTCACKTGAACACCATCTAGAAATGCTGCCATATTATCTGGGATAAAACTAATGTAAAATGGTCTGAGYGGAAAACTGTTCTGTAATCAAATGAAKTCTTTTTTTCAAAGCCCCATCCTAAAGAGAAAGAGGAACCAACTGGAAAACCCTTTCTCTCTGATGGTATGGGGGTGCATTAATGTCTCTGGCATGGGCAGCTTACACATCTAGCACCATCAATACARCAAAGCATATACCAATAATAAAACAACATATGTCCCCATCCAGTACAACAGATGACCCAAGTCTCCACCAGACCAAAACTGGGACAACGCTCCTCTAAAACCTCCTGCAACTACAGCAATAACATCATTTAATTTTCAGATTTAGAGTTGTAGATCTTTTCAAACTGTCTTGTTTTGCTTTGATATTGATCAGGCACGATTGATACAGTTGAAATTCATTAATTGTGTATGAACTACATTGAAAAAAGATTGCAATTTAAAATGTTTTAAGGGAAGATGGTTCATGATGTTGGACTAAATCCAAAAGAAACTCTCAAGTGTCAAGAATAAAAGGTTCATTAAATTATATCAGCAAGTGCTAAAAAAACAAAAAAACAAATCTGGGTAATAACATTAATCTAGTAGATGGTTCACAATGCAGTTGTTCRTGTGCACTTATCCTCTTTTTAATGGGAGGTATTAAAAATGAAAACCACCTACACGAAAATGGGATGCCACAGTCTGTCTCCTCATATTGGTGGTTTCGTCTGGGTGGCGCATCATCTCCATGGTGTCCACCTGAGCACAAACATTCATGATKAACGGGTCAAACCTGGAGCAGAAGATTCCAATAAGTTTACTGGCACCCTGGCTTCCTCTGTGGGCTGAAGGTGTTATTTTAGCAGGGTTCTTTCTTCGAAATAGGCCAGTTGGGAATACGCAGCTGCACTAACAGAGTCGTCAATGCCACAAAAGCTCGTAAACACTTAAAGCTAACAATCTAGAGAGTCGTTCGGCACTGCTGTGGGGCACGGGGAAATTGCAGCACATTCAGAGCGGCAGAGAGTTTTTCCGAATGACGAYGAATTAACGAGGACACAGTTTAGGCTTTTTAACGGCCTCTGCTGTTCATAGCGTCATCAAAATTAATGGTGCTTCAGATATTTTATGGTGAGTCGATGTAGCAAAGTGCATATCTTAATATTTTATTTCATTCTTGCTGAAAGGAAGAAAGGTATGTTCTGGAGCACAAGAAGAGAAGCATGAGCTCCTCTGACAGATCACACAAGTTATCACTTCCACTCGTTCAACGAACGGCTCACTTCTCTAATCGGGCAACTTTTACTAAGTGTCGGTTTCCGTCAACTTTTTTCTCCCGCCCTGATTGAGAACAAGAGAGCATACATATTACATCAGTCACACTGAGCTGTTATTAGGAAGTCTTCGCCTGTTCAAGAATAACTGAGGAGGTGGAAGTACATCAAAGGAAAGCCATTTGATTTCCATGGTTATTTATTTTTTTCTTAAAAAGGCTGGTCTGTGTTTGTGTCTAATTTTAAGTTTTTTTATTTTAATAATCTAAGAGACACATCATGGGGTATTTGTTTTTCGTTGATAACACAGAATTGTGGCTGCGTGGGGAAATAAAAGTTCAAAAGAGATGATTTACATTTTTCCACAGCCAGACTGTGATTGATGTTAGGAGAGCGAAGCTGCGCACAATTCAAAGTTTACARTCATGCTCAGCTGATTTCAAGGGGATTATGTTTGTCCAAAAAACAAAACAAAACAAAAAAAAACTGCTTCCATTTTGGATCTGCTCTGCAGTTTTGGAGAGGTGCATTTAAATTTGACAAAAATCTTACCTTCAACAGGTATTTGGGAGACTTTGGAGAGAAGCACATGTTGGTGAATAACATGGAAGCAAGAGGAAGAGAGAAGTGGATAGAAAAGAAGTAAAGAAATCTATATTGAGKTGTTTTATCCTGCAAAGTTTCATTTAATTTAATATTTTAATGAAAAATTGTCCATCTAACCAAATCTTTCAATTGTATATCCAGCCAAAACRTATTTTTGATCTTGTATTTAGACTGATACCAAACACAGAATGTGTCAGATTGTTAATCTTGTTAGTCTGGAAGTTTCCACAGTTCAAGAATATTATCAAGTGCAATTGTTTATTTCCACTGGCAGATTATTTCACTTAATTTGAGTCTGAACTGTCTCAACTTTCTCAAATTAACTGAAATACTCTGCCATTGGAATAAGACAGTGGTTTCTTGGAAAGATTTGTTGAAATAAGAAAACATTCCAGACTAAAAAGATTAATAATCATAACACGTTCTGCTCTTGCTTAGTACATCATTCTCAAAACAAGCTCAAATATTCTTTTTTGGCTGGACATTGGATTAAAAGAGTCTCTTAGATGGATAATATTTGCATGATTTCATAATGTATACCCTCTTACAATTCAATGGAAAATTAAATTAAAACACATCATAATCAACTTTAACAAAGCAAACTTGAAAAAAGATGGCTAAATTTAAGTCAAAAGGGCAGAAACGTAAGCTTTTGAAGTGTGGTTCAATCCATTTTGAYCCCACGCTCAGAAAAACTGACAGAACTAAAGGATTTTTTTTCCTCAAACTGAGGTTTTATAAAGAGCCATCCACAGCTAACATTTAAAGTTTCGGACAACTGATGGTTTTGCAAAAATCGAACACAGACCATTGCTACACAAAGAAAAGTGTTTACATYAAATTAAAAACAAACATGACATATCACTGAAGTATGCTAACACCCTACAAAAAAAAAAATTCACCAAATACTTTACTGCCTGTTAACAACAAAAGTCAGTAAATCTTTCAWGCGGCAGACACCAAATACCAGATGGCGACGTTGCATCACCAGAAGCAAGACAGCCAACGGAACAGGGTAGTCAATTAATATGGCGGTGCTTCACTTTGCAGGTTTTTAACTGGGCTTTTTATGGTGAAACGCCCATTAGCAACAAATAAAATGATGATTTGTGCGACAGGAATCTCACCTTGGTGCGTCCTGAGCCGAGCTGCGGGGGCAGAGATCTGGAGGCAGCAGTGACTCGGGCCCTGGACGTGGCCAGATTTCCTGTTGGACACAAAACCTTTATGTGGAAGCACATGACTGAGGTGTTTTACATCGGAAGTGGTTATTGAGAGTTGATCAGTAAACACATTTGAGTGTGAAATTCTCTGTCAACAAACTTTTCTTTTCTTTTCTTTTCTCAGTGTTCATACAGCAGCCACGGCATAAAAGGCAGTTCAGAAGGATCCTAAATCTCTGCGAATCCCACCGACTCAGGAGTGCAGCTGCATGCACAGCAGTCCAACAGCCCCACACACACAGCGGAAAGGATATGAACGGAGCATATGCAAGACAGCCTGAACATTTCAAAGTTTCTGCACAAGATGTCCAAATGTTTTCTCTGGCTATATCTTCAGAGGCTAAACTGTGATTAATAGCAGTGAAAGAAGCCTTTGAAGCAGGATTGGTGACATCAAAGTCCTAATCCATGGGTGGCAGGATTTTTATAATGAGTGGGAAGTATCTTAACACATTTCAAAGGGTTTACTCCATGAATAAACAATAGCTGCACAGATGTGCCACACACACCTTTAGAAAAATACGTCTGCAGACACAGGAGGCAGCATTACCCAGGCAGCCGTGTAGGCAAGGAGGTAAACCTTTGTAAGTTTTTTAAGATAAAGCTGAAGTGACAGGCCAACAATTGTTCTACATTTCCTACCACACACACAGACCCAACTTCTAAAATGCAAATATGCAGCCCGGCTCCTGCAACATTTTTTTTTTTCCGAGCCTCGTGTCAGATTTTGAGGATGGCGTTTGACAGCGAGYCAAAAAACCCGAAAACACTGGATCAGCGCCTGGCTTTCCTCCGAGGCCGCTTGCTCTATCAGATGAGTGTTAGAAGTTTCAAATATGGCGAGAGATCAAAATTAATTTATGACGAATTCATTAAGAGCAAAGCCCACTTCTACCTTCTGACAAAGGCCRTCCCGTTGGTACAAAAGGTTTCTCRGTACGCGCGGTGATTGTAAAAATATACAAATATGAAAACAGACAGTGCTGTAGTCAGAACAACCTGAAACAGATGATGTGGGAGAACTTCAAAAGAGTCTGTTAATCTGGTAGCAATTCTGTGAGCACTTGACAGTTGTCGGCTAATTGSTGTGTATTTTTTTTTCTACTTGTTTTTCTTAGTTCATGAATTCAGCAAAGACATGTTTAAATATGATATTTGATATTTTTGGAGAATGTGCTCTGAAACATAACTAAAGGTGTGTTTTTACAGCCTAATATGGGGGAAAGCAATGCGTAAATTAAAGACCTGRCATTCAAYAAATTTAAATCACACAATTTTARACCAAGATCATYTTATGATGAAGTTTCAAGTCTTTCAATCTTATATCCASCCAAAAAGTACTATCTTATTTTGAGATTGATATACTAAGAGAGCAGAATTAGACACTGTACAGGTAAATTATTTCACTTGATTTGAGAAGGTTCAGACTCAAAATAAGTGAAATAATCTGCCATTGGAATAAGAMAARTGCACTTGTATAACTTTTTGAAATAATTTCCAGGCTAATAAGATTGATAATCTAACACATTCTGCTCTTGCTTAGTATATCAGTCTCAAAACCAGATCAATAATACTTTTGGGCTGAATATTAGATTGTAAAATGTGGTTCGATGGAAAATGTTTGCAATGTAAAGCCGTCACTATCCCAAGTTGTCACATTCAGACTCAGCTCAGACTCTCAGCTATCATCACATCTGCAAAGTTACCTGAGTTTTAGTCATTTTGTATTGATTAGCTGTGGTGGCCATCTTGAATTAGACATTTTTAGATTCATTGAAACATGAGCTGTTATTTTTTACTCTTTATGAACACGTTTGTTAGAAGGTCTTGTGTTTAAGAAAAAGTGAGTCTTATAACTTCAAACGGTCCTTCGGCACAAAAAAAAAAGGAAAAAAGGAAAAAAAAGGAAGTCTGATCTTTGAAAACAGGGGCTGTTAAAACTGTGTCGGGTACATTACCAACACACAGGCAGGGACCTGCTCCAATTAGCCCAGAGTAAAGCTGGATGGATTAATTGGAGTGGGTCTTGTGCAAATGAAGTGCGCTCTCTCCTCTCCCTATTAGTGCTGCTGGGCCAGATCATCTGAGCACATTTGTCATGATGAATTAGCGGCTGCGAGTGGAACGGGCTCGTGGAGTGTCACTGCGCTTTCACGCCTCTCACTTCCATGACACCATCAAGAGGAGATGAAGGGGGCTGCGCCACGACGAGGGAAACTATGACAGTTGTACCTAAGCCTCGCAAACGGACACTCGCTGCCTTCTTCATTTATTCCTTGGCGGGTCATGTTAATTCATTCTTCTGGTGGATTTCATATCCCCTTCTGACTGCATGATTAGAGAACGGGTTAATAGTCAGTATCCTCAAAGATCCCTGCCTCCCGAGACATAAAACCATGGGAACACCTGTGATGTCCGGCCTGAAAGGAGTCCTTCTAATTTAGATTTCTCTAATGATGTAGATGAGAAATATTCAAACACGAGGACGAACAAGAAAGGGAAAGATTTGTTCTTTGACAGAGAGGGTGAGAGAGAGAGAGAAGCAGCGTATGTTTTTACCTTCAGTGCCGACTTTTTGTCAGTTCTTTGATTAAAAAAAGGAAATAAAAAAGAAAAGAAGTTTTAATAAGAGAGTTTAATAATTAAAAAGGAGGGAGAAGGTGAGGGGAACATTTCCCATCAGATTGTTCAGTTTTTCTGAAGCAGGTGGACGAGCGTCCCCGCTGTTCGTTTCTGCTTCACGCGTGTTGCTCCTGGCACGGAGACTTCCAGGACCACAGAAGAGAGTGGCAGAGCGGTAAGTGGGGAGGGGGCAGAAATAAATAAATAATAATAAAAGAAAAGAAAAACCTTCCTTGGCATCTGTGCATTCACTTTGAAAATTAAAGCCCAGCAAGAATCCAACAGGAGAGAGAGAGAGAGAAAAAAAAAGCTCAAGCTGGCAGTTGTATTGGGGCTCTATTGACAAGAATAGTCAATGTGCCTGGGATTAAAAAGCAATCCAGCGTTCAGTATGACACCTCTCTACACGCTTTTATGAGCGCCAGTGTGCGCCTTGTACTTCTGAAGCTGTGGATCGAGCTGTCGACACGGGGGACAATCAAAGTTGTAAGAGCAAGCTGAGTGAGCAGAGGCTTGCTGGATATCTCTGCAGCGTTCCCGCTCTCTTTTTGAAAACATGTGATCTAGAAACTCAACTCAGCAACCAAGCAAATTAGATTAAAGGCACCCATAACTCCCCCCCTGCAGCAACCCTCCATAACCGCCACCATTTAAGGCCTGGAGATGGCTTTGGGGTGGGGGGGTTGTTGATTTAAATGCCATCCTCTACTGTCAAAGCAGATCAATCATAGAAAGCATGGTGTAATTGGCTTTTAGTGACACAACACAGTGTTGCATTTATCAAAGGATGTTGCACCATGTGACTTCAGAGAGCTGACTTCCTGCTTCTGATGTGTAGGGTCACCGTAAATCCCAGTGCTGACTCGAAACCTTCCCCAAACAGCATAATTTTGGAAAGAAACTAAATAAAGGCAYTACTTGGAGAATGTCTTTCTGGTGTGGAAGTGTAGCTGAAGATCTGCCCACTGGAATAAAAAGGAGGCCTCTGCTGTGGGAGAACAAAGAGCTGAACGTGTCACATGTAACACTGGGAGAAGCCTGTCAGGAGGTTCTCCTTTTACATGACAGAGGCAAAGCAGAGGAGATGAACTGGGACTTGGTGTGAAGATGGAAAATATATGGGAAATAAAATAAATGTGTAAATTGYTTGACACTGACAAGAACCTTGAACTTTAAACTTTTAAAATATTACAAATCAGACATCACTCGAATATTTTTACAAAGTTTCCCAAAATGGCAAAGAACAAGTATTTTCCTGTTAAAGCAACAATTCAGATCTTTTCATGTGGAGTGCTGTTAAAATATTATAGTTTTAATATCTTACCTGCTGTAGGTAAGCTATGTCCACAAACATAATATGCTGATGGGTCTTTTTGGGAACTGGAGCCAGCCTGAGCCGTTT